AATTAAAAAAATTGTAATTTGCCGTATGCATTGCAATTTACTAGTTTTAGTCAATTTTTTTTTTTGCAATCTTCTGAAATGATCCATTTAGCAAAAATACATTTCAGTCACTGTAGTTAATGCAATGCGATAAATTACGCTAAATCTGTTTTTACCGTAACATTAACTAAACATGAGCAATACATTTACAGTATGGGTAACACTTTACAATAAGGTGCATTAGTTAAGTACTTTAGTTAACATGAAATCAGAATGAACAATACTTCTACAGCATTTATTAATCTTAGGTCATGCTAATTTCAACATTTACTAATGCATTATTCAATTAAAAGTTGTGCTTGTTAACATTAGGCAATGCACTAACTAACAATGAACGACAACGTATTTGTATTTTATGTATATTAATAAATACTGTAATAAATGCATTGTTCATGGTTTGTTCATGTTAGTTAACCTTGTTGTTACCACAGTATGTTATAGTCAGTTAATAAAAATACAGCTGTTCATTGTTAGTTCATGTTAGCTCAGGTCCATTATAAATGAGTATGGTGCTTACTCTGATTAGGTCCGTTGTGTGCATGCAAACCTCGAGCAGCGTACCTGAATCAGAAAGACGGACAGAACTACAGCTCCAATCGTGTTCATCAGCCCCATGTAATAGTTGACCAGGGCTTCTCTGCAGCCACGGATGAAGATGTTGAGCTCTTCGGTCTGGTGCTCGTAGTTGTAGTGGGCGGTGTTGTTGGTGATTCTGTACTGGATACAGGGTCTGGGAGAACTAGGGTTACAGCAGCTGAAGGGCAGACCGTCGATCAAGTAACGGCCATCCACATTGCTCTTAATGCGGCTGAGGATTGAGAAAGGAGAAGGAGATGAGAGAAAGCTTTGAATCAGTGAAAACTTGTCATGAGATTGCTCTAAACTGGCGTTCATCCCAAAATATTGTTGCATTTACAAAGACATCTCAGAGTCCATGTTTGAACTTAGTATTAGAATTAGTCTGGTGTGACCAGCCAAGACAGATTGCTGTTTACACCAGGTATTAACGTGAATCATACATGTATTTTCAGTGGTCATGTTTTCTTCAAATAGATGGTCTTTTGATGCCTAGTGTGTCTGAATGCTTTTGGACACTTAATTCCAAACAAAATATCAAATCATGCGGCATCTGAAAATGAATGATGCTAGAGACTTCTCAGAACTAACTTCACATTTCTGAGCCATTTTGGTCTCGGGTTGATTTATAGTGGATGTATGAAGTCTCAAGTTCTCCTCAAGTGTCCTAAATAGAGTAATACGGATGCTAAAGGTACAATTCACCCAAAAATGAAGATTAAAAAGATTAAGCAGATTGCTGTTTACACCAGGTATTAACGTGAATCATACATGTATTTTCAGTGGTCATGTTTTCTTCAAATAGATGGTCTTTTGATGCCTAGTGTGTCTGAATGCTTTTGGACACTTAATTCCAAACAAAATATCAAATCATGTGGCATCTGAAAATGAATGATGCTAAAGACTTCTCAGAACTAACTTCACATTTCTGAGCCATTTTGGTCTCGGGGTGATTTATAGTGGATGTATGAAGTCTCAAGTTCTCCTCAAGTGTCCTAAATAGAGTAATACGGATGCTAAAGGGACAATTCACCCAAAAATGAAGATTAAAATGATTAAGATAAACCGGAGAGTTCCAGTGCTTGATTCTGATTGGCTGAGCCGCGTTCGAAGCTGTTGATTTATAACAGCTAACTCCGCTTCACATCGTACCTAACAACGCCCCTTAGCTGTTATAATTCACTGGCTTCTTGGGGCTTATTGCTTTATTCTCTCACCATTGTGGTGTTCTAAACCTGTATGCATTTGGTAACACTTTAGTTTAAGATCCAGTTCTCACTATATCAGCATGCATATTACTATAGCATATTGGCTGTTTATTAGTACTTACAAAGCACATATTAATGCCTTACTCTGCATGACCGTATTCTAGATCCCTTAATCCTCAAACTTAACCGACTATGTGAAGCGTGAGCCTTCATCCTGTGGAAAATAAAAGAAGATTCTTGGAAACAAAACAGAAGAAGCATTCTTTGAAGTATGTTGTTTTGGTGAAGGTGTGTAAATGGCGACACGGTTTTCATATGTGGGTGAACTCCTGTATCGCTCTAACGCTTTGAGCTGGCATTCTCAGCGACTCACTCCTTGACGTCCTTCGAGCTGAAGTCCAGGTAACGGTTGCTGATCCACTGCACCTCGAACCAGTCCTTGTAGTTGCTGTTCCCGCAGCACTGGAACTCCATCTGAAGGCGATCGATGGTCTGCTTCTGGAAGCAGCGGCCGGGGGTATCGGTGTCCTTGTAGAAGCGGATGCCATTCTTCAGCCCGATCTTCAGCGAGGACTCCAGGCTGCCCTTCATGGCGTAACTCAGGATGACTGAAAGCAGCATGAGGGTGCTGAAGAAGACCGAGCATCCAAAAAAGGGCTTCAGGTAGGTCTTCCATCGCGGGAAACGGCCGGGATCCAGGGCGTCCTGGCAGATTCGACTGGCAAAGTAGTTGATGCCCATTGAAGCCAGACCCACGATCATCAAGGTGTTGGGCACACAGTGGATGTCTGTGTTGTCCATTACCTAAAGTACAAGATGTGGATGTCAGGCCTTTTTCAGCTCAGACTGCATTGTCTACACTGAATTTACTTCATCATTTCTTTTGAAAATGAGCGACCTTTTATTAGAGTAGATTATATGTAATACAGATCAAATTAACCCCTAAATCACCCATAATAACCCATGTATATTTGGAGAATATTGGAGAGCTTTTGGTTGATACATTAGCAGCAAGCTGTGGCTCAGTTTTCCATTACGATTAATGTGAATTTGATAATCCATTGGAACTGTAGTAAACCAATTAGTAATTCACTAAGCTTCATGAAAGGATTTTTTTAATTTTCTTTAGGGGAATATACATTATATATATATAATTTTTTTTTTTTTTTTTTTTTTTATGTGACAAATTTTATGTGATGTGAGATCTAAGCAGTGTTATTTTAGTATCATTGAGATACTATTATAGTTTTATTCATATTTTGAATTAGTTTGTATTTTTATATTTTCATTCTCATTTTCCAGTGTAATTTTTGTAGTGTTTTTGCTATTAGTTGTTATATTTTTTAAATACATTTATGTTTTTATAAATATATAAATGAGATATGAGACATATATATTATTATTTTATTTTTTTTAGTTTAGTTTACTATAACAACCCTGGATCTCAGGCTGATTTTTACAGAATGGACTGATTAGTTATATACTGCACATATATTTGGGTAAATCCGAATTTAATTTCTGTTACACAAAATATTATCATTCTCATTTTTGGACTGGTCATTTACTTAATATCTAATGAAGAACATGCAAAAATGATTTGTAGTATCACACTATATGTGTGTGTGTGTGTGTGTGTGTGTGTGTCTGTGTGTGAGTGTGTTTCTGTGTGTGTGTGTGAGTGTGTCTCTGTGTGTGATTGTGTGTGTGTGTGTGTGTGTGTGTGTCAATAAAAACTGGTGTAAAATATAGGCAATCGTGTATGGCCTTCTTAGGGCCGAAGGCAGTCTTCATCATCATCATCATCATCACTGATAGTGACCCTGATAACTGTTGAAGAGCTCCTTTGTAAAGGACAGCTCCTTAAGCCTATTATGAGCGGCTTAGATCATATTTATATTCACATAGGTTAATCCCTGCCAGATATTTCTGAAACGTTTGAGCCCTTAACATGTTTATTTATTATGACATTTGTTACTTTACAGTGATTCTATAAACTTCTATAACCTAAATAAAAACCGCTAAATGGACGAATGGTTAATTAACTGCTAAATATTGTGCTGAACAGAGCCAGCTGTGAAGGTCAGAACTATGCATTGCGTCATTGCATGGAATTATCAGCCAAACACATCAAGCACACGAAACACATGAGGGTTATATGGATACCTCTCCCCTCCTTCGAAGCTCAGTCTTTAGGAAGCATCCTAAAGTGAAGGTAACGGCTCCACCCAGAGTTGCAAACCACGAGAGCAGCCATAAACCCTGGGCCAGCTGCACCCTTTTCTGAAAAGTCAGCTTCATCTTACCCACAACCATTGTGAAAGAGTGTTGTGGTGTAAACCTGAGAGAAAGGAAGGCTGGAAGAGTGTGAGAACACACAGAAGTGTTCAAACGGTGCACTCTCTGAAAGAGGAGCTGGAACTGCTGGAGCTTCAGAGGATCTGTGCAACAACAGCTAACTCTGTGTAATCCGTGAAGTTCCCTTTCTTTGTCAGAATACGAGATCGAATCGATTGCATCCGAACAACAATGCAGCCGCTGTTCTGTATGTTGTAGTCCGTTAGCAGAGGTCAGTCCGGGTTGTTTGGTGGTGATCCCCCCGTAGTGTCCCCTCAGTGGTGAACCTCCATGCCCATAGCTGGTGAGACACACTGCATCTGGCCAACGTTAGAGGTCTTGGGCGTCTTACCTGTAATCCCTAAACTATCCTATTACAACGGCCCTCTCCAATGAGAAACAAGGCCACTGTCTGCTCAGCAAAGCCAGTGCTGCATCGCTGCCTTGCGTCACGCAGGTAGAGGATAAAGATGATGAATAACGACAAGCAAGAGAAGCTGGAAGGACTGAGACAGCCGGGGTGCTTAAAGCTGCCTATGAAGCTGATAGGTGCTAGACTTTGTGGAAATGATGAGGACCTTCGCCTTCCTTCAAAGCTCAGTGTAGTTCTAGAGCGTCTCTCGGTTCAGAAGTGAAGAGAATCAGTTCACTGAGCCACGAGAGCAGCCGTAATTCATTTTAAAACCTGTTCTTGTGTTTAATTGTGACCCTGGAGCACAAAACCAGTCTTAAGTGTCAATTTTGTGAAATTGGGATTATACATAGCTGTATAAATAAGCTTCCATTGATGTATGGTGTGTTAGGATAGAACAATATTTGGCTGAGATACAACTATTTGAAAATCTGGAATCTGAGGGTGCAAGAAAATCTAAATATTGAGAAAATCATCTTTAAAGTTGTTCAAATTAAGTTCTTAGCAATGCATATTACTAATCAAAAATTAAGTTCTGATATATTATATAGGAAGGATGCATCAATGCAAATAAAAATAAAGGATTCAACAACATTTATGGGAACCTTAAGACCTTTTATTTATTTTTTTTTAGAATAATGCAATATAATATGAAGTCATTGTTTTATTTTCTCCTCAGCTTTTTCACTGAATAGTCTTTTTTGCAGACCATTGGTTACACGTTACATGTGATGCATCTAAAATAACTGTGTTTTTGAACTTTGCTGAGATGCCATTGGCTTTTGATTTAATGTCAGTTGTATCTGACATTAAATATTTGTAGCGATGTGAATTATTTAATGTTCCGTGCTGTGACATGCCACACTCCGTGTTCTGCAAGTTTATTATTTTAAACATTATAGTTTTTAATTTTATGGATGCAGCTTCGATGACTTCATATTAATTGGGACACTGCATGTTATATTTTTATGTTACATTTGTACTTTTTCTAATTTATTTTGTTTACACCGCAGGGTAATATAAAATCAAATAAAAGTGTTAAAACAAAAATTAATGACTGACTGCCACAGACTACATAATAGATGTATTTCAGCTTTCTTTTCCATTAGTTATGGATTTATCTTTCACTGTATCTTAATTATCAGGTATTTAGTTAAGAAACCAGGTGAAACCGTATTGCACATTAAAATGACTATTTTCTCCTTTGAAGATAAGAAACTCCCAGCATTAATGTTTGTTCTACTTTTATTTATATTAACATGCAAATAATTACAGACATTAATACAAACGTCAACAGCAAGAAAGATGCATTGCACAAGCTGGCGTACCACTAAAATTAATAATAATAATAATAATAATTCTAAATCAACATGACATTCTACAGAATCCTGAGTTTGTCAAAAGAATGCAATGTGCTTTTTCTGTAATCTTCTATTATACTGTCATCCGCATAACCACATTTATTACATACAGATAGACAATTATTACATTTTAAATGTGCATTCACATTTTTCTAGCGAGAAAACATATGGGATGAACTACGTATATATATCACACGGCTAATGTTTTTTCCTATAATCTTTCACAAATAAATAAAAAACTACACATGAAGATATACAGTATATAGTCTTTTAAAGCTAATATAGAAATACTGTAAAGAGTAAAATGAAGAAGTAAGAGTATTAGAAGAATTAAACACATTAGCATGTGTGGCATTAGAATTCAAATGAATATTAAATAAACATGAATAAATATGATCCTAAACAGAACCGGCTTTAATGAAACAGCATTGACAGTCCATTTTACAGACTTTTTTTTTATTTATCTTGACGTATCCCATTGCTAATAATTCTTTTTCAAATCTATTTTTTCCTAACAAGCATCAACCAGCATTAAACTGCTACATTAAATATCATACGGTTTCTTCTATAGAGTAGCCTAAAACTATAGCTATTTGGCAATGATTGATGAAGTGAAGTGATGCCAGTGAGAAACGTTGTTTAGAGGCAGAGCAAGTTACTACATGCTGGTGAAAGATTGCAAAGATTTTGCATAACATTAAAAATTAAACTACGACAAATTTATCTTTAATTCAAAATAAGCACGTTATGATTCCCCCTCTCTATTTTCTTTCTTGCATCAGTGATAAAATGCAAGTTGCCAAGATGGTTAGCCTGTACTTCATCACTAATGTTTTCGACACATAACGAGCATGCCCCGTTAATCACAGGTGTGTGCTCTCCCCATCGTGAATAAAGTGGTCGAGCATTTTCTGAGCAGACTCCAGACCCAGCATCCCGCTTCTGTCCTCTCCAGCTTCTCTCCAGTTACACACAACCTCGTCTGTGTGCGACGCTTGTCTGGAGCCGGACTGTGACAGGTGCAGGTCCATCATGGATTTATTGCTCCTCAGCTGGCTGTGATGATCCTGCTGCTGCTTCAGAAGCCCGATGGAGTGGATCTCCTCCAGGCTAGAGGACAGCATGCGAATGGGGGAGCCCAGGTTGTGCACCTCTGTGATCCGGTACACGTCGCATGCTGGACCTCCGGGACTCTGCTTGAAGCGGGCCAGGCTGGCATCCTCGATGGGAACCGGCAGGGTTTCGGGGTGGACGGTGAACTTGAGATGCGGTATCTGTAGGCCGTGGCGAGCTTGATGACATTTGCTCTCCTCGCCTCCAGACTCGCTCTCCGTGTCCATCAGTCCCCAGCCGCCTTGCCTCTGCTGCCACTGGAAATACACTGCACTTCCACCACTCCCCCTCGGGTCCGAGTCTAATGCCTCCTCTCCCATCTCTGACCAGTCGGATTCCTCCTCCTCTGGGAGGGTTCCCAGCGACTGGTCACCGGCATGCATGGAGGCTTTCTCATAAAGCTCGCTGTCCATGAACGGCGCTGGAGGAGGTGCGAGTGGAAGTGGAGTTATGGGATCGTCAGACTTCAGATGCTTCACCAGGGCATCCTGTAGCATTGATGTGACCTGAGAATACAGGAGCGTCATTAAATCAAGCCAGCTCGTTCTGAATGGACACATATTTGGAAAAAGCACAAATGAACTAATTATTGTACGTAGCACAATACATTTGAATCATAAGACGAAATGCTGTGAGGAACATTTCCACAGAAGAGTCATTCTCGGGAAATGATAGAAGTATCTGCATTTCTCCTCTTCTCTAGCATGATTCTTAATCTAGTTGTCTGGAATTTTATATGACGAATATTGTGGGCTTTTTGATGTATTGCTTTTGTTCCTTGTATGTCACTTTGGATAAAGCGCCTGCTGAATACATAGAGTATATGTACAATCCAAAAATGAAACCTGAAAATGGTATCATTTAACTTAATTGGTTTTATTCAAATAAAAAAAAAAATTATATATTTTATGCCCAAAATCATTAGGATATTAAGTAAAGATCATGTTCCATGAAGATATTTTGTACATTTCCTACCATAAATATATCAAAACTTAATTTCTGATTAGTAATATGCATTGCTAAGAACTTCATTTGGACAACTTTAAAGATGATTTTCTCAATATTTAGATTTTTTTTTTGCATTTTTTGTTTTCAAATAGTTGTATCTCAGCCAAATATTGTCCTATCCTAACAGACCATACATCAATGGGAAGCTCATTTATTCAGCTTCAGATGATGCATAAATCTCAATTTCACAAAATCAACCCTTATAACTGGTTTTGTGCTCCAGGGTCACATTTATATATACAGTATATATATATCATTTATATAATTTAACATTACTGAATCAACATAAATACATTAATTTAATGGGAATAAATAGCTCTTTAAGGTAGCAATTGGTTAGTGTGTAAATGTGATGTAAATTTTTTATAAAAAAAAACTTTTTGAATAAAACATTTTTAAATGTTTTTTAAAATCAGAATAGCTGACAATTTCCTTAAATCAGCATTATATTTAAAGGGTTAAATACTATAACAAGTCTTATTCAACCTGAATTTTGATTTCACTAAAATTAAAATGATCATGCATCCATTTTTTACTTCTTAAAATAAATTTGTTATTGAAGGGAATGCAATCATAAAATACCTCACAGTGAGCTCTCTCACAATCTGTTTCTATGTTTGAAGAATAGCCTCTTGTATTCATCATCTTAGTAAAAGATGTAAAGGAGCATCTACATGAATGTGAATATTGCTCATTATAAACATAACGAAATCAAGCTCTCACATTAATGTTCTCTAGACTGTGGATGGTGGTCTTCGCTGCAGACAGATGTTCGGTGAGCTCTGAGATTCGCTCGTTCAGTCGCTCTCGCTCTCCATCCGTACTTTGAGACTAAATTGAAGTAACATCATATTTAAAAAGTCATATTTAAAACAAACAGAATTTGTTGTGATGTTATGTAAACCAATGGTCTAAGAATCCATTCAAATGAATGGGATTGATTCTTTAGGGTGGAACAACCACAAAAGACTAAATGAAGTGTTAAATCGGGCTTTACCACACAATGCAGTTTTTTCTCCAGAAGGTGGTTGGTTTGTTGTGTGCAGGAGTAGTTGTCCTGAAGTCTGATGAAACAGAGAGCCTTATGATATATTCACATGAATTCTTAACAAAAAAAACATATTTTTTATTCTGGGTTGCACTAAATTAGCGCAAATCAATCATTGTTTGGTGCAGATTGTATTATAAATAATGACAAATATACAATTTGTCTTTGTTATTTGAATAAAAACAGAAATAACATTACAGTCACCTTTCTGAAAATTGTAGCTGACAAGAGCTAAAGCCTTAATAACTCACTCATCCTTATAAAAACATAAGTACACTTTAGTCAAAATTTGAAAAGATTATTTATTACAAAAATAATTAACTTTAAAAGAATAAAAGTCAATTAAAACTTAATATGGTGTTTTAATCGATGTTAATGAATTAATTGCAATTAAAGGAAAACATATTAACATTTAAATTTTTATTCAATGCAATTTTACAGTGTTTTCTGGCACTTAAGTAGCACTTAATTACATCTTTATGTGTCATTTAATCATTCATAATATATCATGTATTTAAATATACTGTATTTGCAATTACAAATTTGTAAGTTGGAATTTTGTACATTTGAATAATATTTTTAATTTAAATGTTACACCAAATAACACTACAATTAAAATGATAATCAAGTACTTTACATGTGCTTCAGTATGTTAATCAAAATAAGTGCACTTCTTTAAAGAACAACAGAATATTATTAAAACATAATGAATTGAAAGGTACTTTAAAGTAAAACTTTTAATTTGACATTATTACAAAGTGCACTTTTTAAAAGTGTAAGTTTGTTAAGACACATTAAATTGTCTGTCTTTAAGTACACTTAAGTGGCCTTTCAGTTCATTCATATATTATCTGCAAGTAAGGATTTAAAAAAAAAACACTTTTAGGATTTGATGTACACTACAAGTGCTCACTACTTTTTACGAGGGTAGTATGGATTAGCTCAGATGAAAAAAAAGTGAAATCTGCTGTGCTGTTTCTCTTGTTAGAGGAAATCTTATATAAAGCCATCAAAAGCTAAAGAAACAGATTTGTTGTTAAATGCCTTAAAAATTCTTCTTTGTCATCACATTCAGCATGGTCAAGCCTGCCCTCTTATATATCTCTTATAAAAATGTATTCATTGCTAAAATGTAGGGTCTACTAAATGAGTAAATGTGCTGTAAATGTAGTGTATGCATATGTACATAGTGCATGTCGGAGCATGTGCACTGTCCACAAAAAGCTCAAATCCTGCTAAAAATAGCATTTTCTAACTGGTCTATTTTATGTGCATGCATTATATATTAATCCAATAGAATAGAATAGAATGTGATATAGCACAGTACAGTTTAGTCTTGTGTCTCACCTTGTGAACCGCTCTATTAAGCTGCTAAGCTCAATGCGAGTTCTTTGTAACTCAGATTCAAGGAGCTGGTGTCCGGTTTTGAACTCAGCTCCCATGCATTTCATTTGCAAAGTGGTCTGCAGCAAGCTGTGGTGGAGAGCCTCATTCTGCTCCTGTAGCATCCTGGACCGATTAAACAGACAGAGAGTGCATCAAGCACACCTCCAAGAAAACAACCACACACAGGCTGTAAGATACACAATGCTTTTATGAGCAATGACATGCCAAGAGGGGATCATTTGGGAAGCAAATTGTCTCGCTACCATCCTGACGGAGCTGAAAAGCAATTTCCAGAACCAAAGTTAAGGCGATTAGTACTTTAGCAGGCAGCATGCAAAAAAAGAATGCAATAGTAAACAAAAAACTCACATTAACCTCTCCAATTCTGAATCCTTTTCCTGTGCAAACACGAAAGCAGAGGCAAATGTGGAAAACACCAACAACAAATAATAATCAGTTTATATAAATATGTATATTTTCACTCTGCTTCAACACTAAAGAAAAAATACTCACCTTTGGGAATGAGGATGACTCTTGGTTGCTCACTGTAGATTGATCATCCTGGATAGTGGAGCTTGCAGATGAATCTGACTTGTTAGAATGTGGAGAAGTAGACCGCTGGCCCACTGGAGAGTGGCGAAGATGGCTTGGGTGATCATCATTGTGATGATCCTCTTTGACGTGGGAATGATAGTGGTTTGATTCTGAATGAAAGTGGTGGTGTCCTGAATGGGAATGCTGATTCTGCGATTCTGGATGGTCATGGTGATGATGGTGATCTTTGGAATGATGATGGTGGGACTCTGGTTGGGAATGATGATGAGATTTTGAATGCTCATGATGTGGAGGATTGGTAGTCTCTGGATTGGATTGGTGATGGGCATTTGAATGGGAATAATGGTGGAATTCCTGAGACTTGTGGTGACGGTAATGATCTGATTCAACAGGGGGGTTATCATGACTTCCTGAGTGAAAATGGTGAGGGTGAGGTTCTGGAGAATTATGATCACTTTGATGGTGGAAGTCCAAATTGGAAAGGTGTCCTTTAGAATGTGACGTGCCGTGATTTGTGGACTCTGAATGTGAGTTGGGATGATTTTCATAATGATGGGGTGAATTAGAGTGTACAGGGCTTTTTGGCTGACTGTCAGACAAGTGATGGTGATGAAGATTATGGTCAGTGTCAGTATGAGAAGAATGATAATGGTGTTCAGGTGTAGGGGATGTATCATGTGAATGAGAGTATTGGTGAGTTTCAGAGTGGGAATCATTGTGGAAATTGAATGGGAATAATGGTGGAATTCCTGAGACTTGTGGTGACGGTAATGATCTGATTCAACAGGGGGGTTATCATGACTTCCTGAGTGAAAATGGTGAGGGTGAGGTTCTGGAGAATTATGATCACTTTGATGGTGGAAGTCCAAATTGGAAAGGTGTCCTTTAGAATGTGACGTGCCGTGATTTGTGGACTCTGAATGTGAGTTGGGATGATTTTCATAATGATGGGGTGAATTAGAGTGTACAAGGCTTTTTGGCTGACTGTCAGACAAGTGATGGTGATGAAGATTATGGTCAGTGTCAGTATGAGAAGAATGATAATGGTGTTCAGGTGTATCATGTGAATGAGAGTATTGGTGAGTTTCAGAGTGGCAATCATCGTGGAAATTATGGTGCTCTGGTTCTGAATCTGAAGTGTGATGGGGATGATCAGGGTTGGGTGAGTGATTAGGATGGGAATGATGATGGTGATGGTGAGACTTGGGATGAGAGGATTCAAAGTCAGAATAATGGTGTTGCGATTTCACACCAAACTGATGGTGTGTTTCTGAGTCTGTAGAAAGATGAGATATACTACCATGGTGTTCTCCATGTTGGTGGAGAGGAGGAGGAGGCGAGTCATAGTGATGAGATTTTGGATGGGAATGATGGTGGGAAGTTTCTGAATGGGTGGAATGATGGTGTGAAGATGAGGTGTGGTGGCTTCCATGGTGGTGATGTGGTGGTGAAGGTGAATGATGATGGTGGTGTGATTCCGCGTGAGAAGGATAGCAGTGAGCTTCTGGATGATGGTGAGTCCCTGATTTAGAAGAATGTGTTGGACTGCGGTAAGATCCATGATGGTAATGTGATGGAGAAGGTGAACGGTGGTGGGAATCTGAATGAAGAGAGTGATGGTGTGGTGATGGGCTACGATGAGTTCCATGGTGGTGATGTGATGGTGAATGATGGTGTTGAGATTCTTGATGGGCTTGATGGTCATGAGATTCTGGATGGGTATGATGGTGTTGGGATTCTGGATGGGAATGATGGTGATGTGATTCTCGATGGACATGTTGGTGTTGAGATTCTGGATGGGCTTGATGGTCATGAGATTCTGGATGGGCATGATGGTGTTGAGATTCTTGATGGGCTTGATGGTCATGAGATTCTGGATGGGCATGATGGTGTTGGGATTCTGGATGAGAATGATGGTGATGTGATTCTGGATGGGCATGATGGTGTTGGGATTCTGGATGAGAATGATGGTGATGTGATTCTGGATGGGCATGATGGTGTTGGGATTCTGGATGAGAATGATGGTGATGTGATTCTGGATGGGCATGATGGTGTTGGGATTCTGGATGAGAATGATGGTGATGCAATTCTCGATGGACATGATGGTGTTGGAATTCTCGATGGGCATGATGGTCATGAGATTCTGGATGGGCATGATGGTGTTGGGATTCTGGATGAGAATGATGGTGATGTGATTCTGGATGGGCATGATGGTGTTGAGATTCTTGATGGGCTTGATGGTCATGAGATTCTGGATGGGCATGATGGTGTTGAGATTCTTGATGGGCTTGATGGTCATGAGATTCTGGATGGGCATGATGGTGTTGAGATTCTTGATGGGCTTGATGGTCATGAGATTCTGGATGGGCATGATGGTGATGCGATTCTTGATGGGCTTGATGGTCATGAGATTCTGGATGGGCATGATGGTGATGCGATTCTCGATGAACATGATGGCGTTGGGATTCTCGATGGGCATGATGGTGATGCGATTCTCGATGAACATGATGGCGTTGGGATTCTCGATGGGCATGATGGTGATGAGATTCTCGATGGGAATGATGGTGATGCGATTCTGGATGGGCATGATGATGGCAGTTTTCTGATTCTGGAGAACAAGGACATGAAGGTGGGCTATGATAATCTCTGTTGTAATGGTGGTGTGATGGAGACGATTTGTGGTGTGAAGTTCGATGATTCTGTGAATTAAAATGCTGTTCTTTGGGGGCAATTTGGTGCTTTTTCTGAATTTTGTGGCCATGTTCAGTCCCAGATGAACGACCTTTTGAAGAAGAACTAGTACAGCTTGTATCACTTTTTGTACTGTCACATCGATGCCTGGGAACAGCCTGGTGCTGTTGTTGATAGATGAGGTCCCTTTCAGGATGTGAATGCTTGTTGGAGTGGGAGTTCTTGCTTGAATGTGAGTGCCGTCTGGAATGGGAGTGCTTACTTGAGTGAGAATGCTTACTGGAGTGCGAGTATTTGCTGACATGGGAATTAGCAGTTGATGTTATGGAGCTGGCACTGCTTCCCAGCCGGCTTCTGGTAATTTTTGATGTCTTTTCTCTTTTGTGTTCAGGCTTTGGAGACAATGTCTTTGGAGATGTTGAAGTTTGACCAGGGCTCAAGGGCCTATGAATATCTGTTACCCCAAGGGATGTAAGTCTTGATGGGCTAAGCACCTGCCTTGTGATTTCATTCAGAAAGGCAGAAAACTTCATCTTCCCCTTCACAAAGTTCTTATGAGCCTCTTGCTTCTTTTTTTCCCGCCCCTTCTCATCCAAGTCTCCAACACCAGCATGATCTGTTTGCCTCGACAGAACCTCCATAGACTTGGTCTTTCTTATGCTTGCAGCCCCTTTAGCATAATTGTGTTGTTGCCCCTTATTGCCCTTTTCATTCTTCTGTTGAGAATTTTTTGCAGTCTTCTTGGCAGTTCCTCCACTTTTTTCTTTGACAGTCAGGTTCTTTTCCATGCTTGTGGACTTCTTCAGTTTGTCATCAGCGTCCAATAAAGGCATTGTATCTGCATCATCCTCATCATCCTCAAAGGCTCTCCGTCCTCTGCTGATATCCATACATGATTGTGAGTGCTTTGAATGTTGAATAGCTCGCTTGGACTCAGTAGGCAAAGGGGCATTTTCCAGACTGTTTTCAGATGACCAAGAAGAACATGAACCAGAGGAAGAGGAAAAGCTAGAATTGGAGAAATATGATTTGGAGGAAGAAGATGAAGAGGAATTGGAGGAGGAAGAGGAATCAGAACTGGATGAGCTTGCTGAAGTCTTTGACAAGGAACTAGAGGAAGACCCAGAAGAGTTTGAGGAAGTGACTGAAGCTTTAGAGTGAGTTTTCTTTTTCGGTGTGTGACGTTTATCCTGATTTTGTGGATAATGATGATGATGATGGCTATCAGCTTGGGGGTGATGATGGTTATAATGCTCATGAATGTGATGGCGACCACTGCTGGCATCTGAAGTACTATAGATAAAAGTGAAGAAAAAAAGAATTAGTGGTTCTTACTAAGGCACTATTTATTAGTTACTATTACTATTACTCATTAAAAACCCATTACTTATTTATGTATAAATAACTGGAGACCAGTTAAGAGCTGTGCAGGTGAACCTCACTCCCCTGATCTGGTGCACTAGCGACTGACACTAGAGTCTGCAGTCTTTTGTGTCCTTATTAGCGTGCCCACCTCCCATGCCAGAAACGGCAGTTTGAATCCCACCTAGAGAGGGTCAAGTAGATCCAGAGGGGTTACATTGGTGCCGTGACCCGGATGGAAGTGAGGTTTAAAGGAGTGAGTGTAACAGAGGCCATGCATCTAGTAAGAGCTGTGCAGGTAAACTTCACTCCCCTGATCTCAAGAGGCATGCTAACAAATGACGCTAAAGGTCGCAGTCTTTAGTGTCCTTGTTAGTGTACCTGCCTCCCATGCTGGAAACGCTGTTTCGAATTCTGCTTAGAGAGGGTAAAGTAGAACCAGAGGGGTTACGTTGGTGCCGTGACCCGGGTAGGAAAGTGAAGTTTAGGGGTGTGAGTGTAACAGAGGCCAGCTAGTAAGAGCTGTGCAGGTAAACTTCACGCCCCTGATCTTAAGAGGTGCAGTAGCAACTGACGCTAGTGGTTGCGGTCTTTAGCGTCCTTGTTAGCGCACCCGCCTCCCATGCCAGAAATAATTGTTCGAATTCCACTCGGAGCAGGATGAGTATAACCGGAGGGGTTACATAGACATGAATTATACCTAAAAACCATGTGGCTTGAATAGTATAAAAACTTGCAGGTGGTTTCTTTTGACTTGGGCTAGTCAACAACCACTCAGGAGACCCTATAGCAACAATCTAGCAAAGCCCGAGGAACCATCCACAACACCATAGCAACAACACACATTTTCTTAAGAAAATAATTGTTTCTAAGTTTTTTTTGCTTCAAGATAACAACACTATGTATATACATTATGCATACATTTTAACAAATGCTTTTTTTTAATGTTTCTTTTTTTTTTACAAATACATGTCATATATTTTTATCACCTCTTATCCTCATGTTCCTCTGGAAGGTGTGCACCACGATGGTGATGATGGTGACGATGAGATGAGTGGCGACGCTGATGGTGAGGATGATGATGGTGTTGACTATGGTGATGCATCTGATTATGAGCCATAGTCTATGTTCTTGCTTCTCCTCAGAAAGACAAATTAATTAAATCAAATTGTTCTTGCTTTGTAAAACTTTTTGTTGATTTCTGAGCAACAAACCGTCCAAAAGTGTAATGGGAAGTACTGTGGGAATACATAACAGATATGGTAAAGGTTTGGTAGTGTAATTTAAAATGTAAAAAACATATGTCAGTTACAAAGCGACAAACTGCGTATTAAAACTATTAGAATATCAATATAATTGGCATTTAGATGATCTAAACAAATAGGTTAATATAATATACAGTATACTTATCTTAGAAAAAAAATAGACAGGAATTAAAAGAAAATACTTAATGAATACTTAAAAGTGTCAAAGAAAATTGTAATACATAACTCTCTTTTTTTAATGAACATAAAATAAAAACTCTTACAAGTTAGCTATGTGATATTGCAATATCTTACCGTAAAATGATCAAAAATGCCAACAGAGAAAAGAAACCAGACTTCCTCAAGGGATCAAAGAACAATGAATATTGTGTAATATCAATTTAAAAACACAATTACTTAATTCCAAACAAATTAAAATTACAAGCCACAGCAAACAGATGTTGCGTACTTGAAGGGTTCGAAAGAGATGATGAGAGCTCTGGTACTTTCACAACTTTTCTATGCATGTTTGTCCGGCCCCTTTATCTGACAGGGCTGGTTTTCCAGCAGCACAGTGTGAGCACCAGATGTCAATAATTCCTGTCTCACTGTCTGAAGCGCCCATGGCAAATTTGTACAGCAATGACAATAACATCAATTCACTCTGAAGGGGAGATTATTTTCCATGGAAGGCACTAGTTGCTACTTCTTTTAATGTTGGGGGGCATCAGATGAAATAAGATGCATAATGTTATTCAATCATCTTTTTAGGACTTTAGAGATCATTTATACAGTTGTGGTCAAACGTTTACATACACCTTGCAGAATCTGCACAATGTTAATTATTTTACCAAAATAAGAGGGATCACACAAAATGCATGTTAATTTTTATTTAGTACTGACCTGAATAAGATATTATGGTAACACTTTAGAATAGGGAACACTTATTCACTATTAACTACGACTTTTCTCTCAATAAATTCCTAATTTGCTGCTTATTAATAGTTAGTAAGGTAGTTGTTAAGTTTAAGTATTGGGTAGGATTAGGGATGTAGAATAAGGTCATGTAGTATAAGGCATGAATATGTGCTTAATTAATACTAATAAATGGCTAATATTCTAGTAATATGCATGCTAATAAGCAACTAGTTAAAAGACCCTAAAATAAAGTGTTACCGATATTTTACTTAAAAAGACTTTCACACACAGTCCACAAGAGAAAATAATAGTTGAATTGAAAATGACCCCGTTCAAAAGTTTACATACGCTTGATTCTTAATACTGTGTGGTTACCTGAGTGATCCACAGCTGTGTTTTTGTGTTTAGTGATGGTTGTTCATGAGTCCCTTGTTTGTTCTGAACAGTTGAACTGTCTGCTGTTCTTCAGAAAAACCCCCAGCTCCTGCACATTCTGTGGTTTTCCAGCATCTTTTGAGTATTTGAACCCTTTCCAGCAGTGACTGTATGATTTTGAGATCCATCTTTTCACACTGAGGACAACTGAGGGACTCAAACACAACTATTACAGAAGATTCAAACATTCACTGATGCTCCAGAAGATAAAACCATGCATTATGAACAAGCGACTCATGAACAACTATCACTAAACAAAAAAACACAACTGTGAATTATTCAGGTAACAACAACACAGTATTAAGAATCAAGTGTATGC